GGGGGGGGTGTGTGGCTGTGCATAAAAAAGAAAAATAGAAGCATTAAAGGCTATTATCTGAAAGCTTATGTATAATTTGCCATCATTTAAGCTGGCATGTTTTTCTTTTTTTAGAGGGATGAGGGGGCTTTGTATCCTAAAGATGACAATGACTGTAAATTAGACCTGCGTGGCTGATTGACAGCACAAAGTTATTTTGAATGCCTGAGTCTAGGAAGGAAACCGCAGCCTTCTGTCTTCCTCCCTTCTCCCACCTACGCTGCAGCTGCCTGTTCACGGAGACATTTACCACAACAATGACTTCCATAAGACAAATTTCAGTTCTGAATTATTTGTGTATTTATGTGTACAGAAGTATATTACACATAGATATCTGATTTAACTGATTAGTAGATTATTGCTATGACTAACATAATAGAAATATAAAAAGCCTACCTTCCGTTTTACAAATTTGTCCCAGTAATTGTTAGGAAAGGACCTATATAGATAAGGCAAAGATATTTCAAGTTATTTAACTTGTTTGGGGAAAGAAAAAAAACAACCAAAAAAAGAAAATACCATGTTCCTGATCACTGCAGATTCTGGTACAATGTCATTCACTCACACACTGCACTTCACACACTGCACTTCAAATTACGAGAATTTCTTTTCATGTGGACAACAGATGTTATTAATCATCATTTGCTGCAATATTATCTTCGCTCCCCTCCCCCTTTTCTTTTTCACATCCACAAATATGATTGGCTACAAAAGGACAACAGGCTAAATATTACCACTTAATGATCCCAACAACTCAAGAATAGGAGAATAGGAGGGTAGTCACTGTAATACCATTAATCTCCTAAATAAATAAATACTTTAAATACTAAATAAATACTTTATTGCTCCTAGCCATAAAATCAATATGGACAATGATTTTCAGAGGAAAATAAGAGAGTCTTGTAGCATAAATAATTTTTAAGTTCACTGGATTACATTTCAAATAGAGGCTGAACACTTGGGAACCAGTGGGCAGTTTGCCAACATAAAATTAAAATTCAAAAAATATTAAAAAACTCCCAGAAAATAGCAAAGATCATTTGGCAAAAACAGGGGTTAGTGGTAATCTTGTTCTCAGGTGTATCATACTGTTGTTACTGGATCTGACATCCCAGAATAAGACAAGGTAAAAAAAATTTATATTTCTAAAGCTGCAAGGCAGTTCAGCTAAAAAGCATTTTGCATCATCTGCCTCTGAGCAGCCATGCCCACACTGATAATTAAAATAAAAGCTATTATGCATACAAAAGAGAAAGAAATGAAGCAGCAGATCTCAAACACTGAAGAGGTGTCATGGTGTCTTTTATTGAAAATTCCCTGCTTTTTTTGAGTCGTGACCATGATGCTTCAAAAAGCAACTAGTTTTATCCAGGGGAGATCTTAGAACAGACACTAGGAAATACATCAGCTTTGACCTGCAAGAAAAAAGGCAGGATTCTCTCTTATCAGTGACATTTCCCTGATCTTCAACTTGATCATAAAAAATACTGTTCTTGAACTGAACTGTCTTATGAATAGCAGCGCCCAGGAATTCTTCATTCTGACAGTCTGACTGTATATTATGTTAGATTTGAAGAATGCCAATTAGCAGGAAACACTACAAAATCTAAGGTTTTTCTCATCCTATTTCATGGCTGTCTCACTGAGTTGAGCAGGAAGGTATAAAATATGCAGGAAGGTAAAAAAGAAAAATAACTGCTTAAACTAAAGGACAGTATTGGTAAAATAAAGCAAGTGTTAACATCAGAAGAATAAGATTCCAGAACACTGTTTGGCTGGGATGCAAGGCAAACTTCCCAACTACTTATTAAGTGTTCAATTTTTTATTTTTCTGAATTTAGAATAGAATGAAATTACTCCAGATTAAGGCAAATGGTTTCAGGGACTCAGATGGTATATTCTGGTCCAATGCTCTGTATTCTTTCCTTCCTTGATTTCTCAGACTTTTAAGCAAAGTATGTCTCCAATGTAGCTAGCTTGTGTCTATCTCTTTTACCACAAACATCTAGTGGTGCTGCAGTTATTAGGGAACCTCTTTTACCTTTTTAATTACTTTATTTTTCACTTATAGAAAGCACATTTCAGTATATATACAACACTGGGTACCCTCCAGCAGTGGTTACCATGATGGTACAATACCTGCACGAAACCTTGAGAGTCAGTTCACATCAGAGGGATTAGTCTGCTTAAATTAGCCTTAATCTTTTATTCAACTCCAGCAGACAGTGCAACATGCTGAGAACAGGCTGTATGGCATGTTGTTTGGGATAAGCTGACAATCTATCTCATTAATTCATGCTTGTTTTTGCTGAGGATAAACTTACTGGATGTCTAGATAGCTTGCTAATCAATAGTTAAAGAAATGAGCTGGAAATTAAGCAAGCTCTCCAGTTTCCCAATTGCCTTCTATTGTAACCTTAATAATATGTGCTAGTCTGTATTTCTAACTGAAATTAAGGAAAATTCTTAAAACTCAGGTGTAGGAAAACAAAACATTCAAGAATTTCCAATTTTATCAAATACTTACTTATGCCTGCACATACTAGCCACAACTACTTTGTGACTTGTAAATAACTTTGTTCTTTTCCAGTTTTCTGTTACCGTCCTTAAATTATTAGGGAAAGACAAGAATCTAAGCCTAGGTATACTAGTACCAAAACATGATTCTAGTTGTTTTGAAAGAGTGAATTCTGGAAAAGAGCCTGTAGACAAGGCATTGTTTCAAAAGAAGAGAGTTGACTTGCTGTATTTCTCTGTGTCACTCCTACAGACTGCTGCAGCTTACTGATATCTTTCTTTTTCTTGCCTACACTTGTATCATTCACTCACAGAACACCAAGTGAGTCTCCTAGAATCAGTGCATGACTACTACAGTATTTGCTATCGCAGACAACGTGACAGTAATTCCTGTCAGACCTACTCAAATTCTGGGATTGCTGTTTTACACTAGATTTACTTCTCTTGTCACATACAAATTTTGTTAGCAAGAAGTGGGAAAGGCAGGCAGGAGAATACTGCTACACAAAATGAATGTGAAATTGATTCACTGAAAAGGATGGAAGCTATCTTTTTAAAACTTTCTCAGTAGTGACTAATATGTGAAACGTCTTGGAGAGAGCTTGTGAGGTAAGATGCACAATCCTTGCAAATCCTAGAAAAATGAAAAGGAGGTGGAATATACATGTTATGATAGTATTTATTAAATAAACAGATAATACAGGATTTCACATTAGAATCTACTACTGTAGCATCCAATATAAGATGAAAAACGCCTTTCTTTTAGATGAACTAGGTGGCAGGTGGACAGGGAAGGTCCTAGATCAGTGGCTTAATGAGCTATAATATTTATAAACAGTTTACATAGAACCGTTTAATTTTACATACGGAGTATTTATAACCAGGCGATCCCATTGTCCTTTAATATCATCTTCAGATGGCTGTTCAGTTATGTATAGTCCGTCAAATTCCAGCTTCCTAGCTACCTCCTTTTCTCTCTTGAATACAACCAGAGGGACCTATGAAAATGACCGTGGACATCATCATCATGGTTTATATATTTTCAGCAATCATGATAGCTACCTACAGTATTAAGTACCCTTTACAGTACTATATAAGACCAAACATCACACTGCACCTCCCACAAGCAGATCAATGCCTAGCCAGTCTCTGAGCAACGGCCACCTTGGAAGTCAAGCCCCAGCCCCAAGTTTTTACCACTGAGCATGACGTTACATGGTATGGAATATCCTTTTGGTCCATTCAGGTCAGTTGTTCCAGTTGTGCCCCTTCCCATCTTCTTGCCCCCTCCCAACATCCTCACTGGAGGATGCACAGAGTGGGTAAAGCAAAGAGAAAGCCTTCACACCATGCAAGCACTGTTCAGCGATAACCAAAAGGTGGGTGTGTTACCAGCACTGTTTTAACCACAAATCCAAAACATGCACACTGCTATGAAAAAAGTTATCTCCATCTCTGCCAGAGTGAGTACATGAGGAAAACATCTACATACTGAGTAGTGAGAATTTGTAAATGCCTAGGTACAAATAGGTATTCCAGTATTGGCTCCAAAAATCACTTTGGGACATAGCCAATGTTCTTTAACAAATAATAGATTAGTAGTAAGAATCAGAACTTGCCTTTAAGCAATAGTATCCAATCACACAGACAAAGGAGATGATAGTATGAATAACTGCCAGTGCTCTGAGAGCAGGTGCCATGTAACCTGTACTTTCTTCTAAAACAAAAAACACCATGCCCTCCTCCTCTTCCTCTTCATCAAAAGAGTTCCAGAGATTAGAGTCTTCCTCTACTTCATCAAGTGGCTCTTCTGTCACCTGACAGAAATTCAAGCACGTTGAAAACACACAATAAACTTAAAAGCTTTTCCTTTCCTACAATGACAAATGGTGTTTTGCAAAGCCTGCTCGGGAAGATGATAGAATGTTAGCTTTGAACAGTAATGTCCTTCATTTTCACAGCAGAAGTCTCCACATCATCTCACATCACTGAAAAGAGAATCTAGAAGAAGCAAGTACAGGCATATGACAGTTCACAAATCTCTCCTTTAACAGTGCCATAGCAAACCCAAAGCAAACAATGAGAAAGGCAAAAATGTTTTCTTGGAAGAACCAAACAATGACAGGGTTAACTAATATGACTGAATTTAGGGTTTGTTTTGTAATCTATGTTGTTCCTGATTGCTAGAGTCTAGAAGGAAGCAAAGTTCTCACGATATCAACTTGTACATTGTCCATAAGTTTTTATTTCAGGACTTAGTTTAGAGCTTACAAATTAATACAGTATTCAATCAGTATTTCGTAAATACCCCAAGCCACAAAGTGGACATACTGACCTAAATTCTTCCAGCGACTTTAAAAACCTGGCCTTTAAAATAAAAGCCCAAATTGCCCTTCTTTTGACATCTTCATCTGAAAGCTGAAGTCTTGTTCAGTCTTGTTTGGTTCCCACTGACTCTTTCCTGTATCTATGACAGATGGACTTTAACTGATAAACACAAACTTTTGTCCTCATTCTGCAACGGAACGGGTTGTTGGCTGGCCCACAAGACCCAATGAAAAGCAGAAAAGAGTGAGGAGAAAAGGACTGGCATAGACAAAAGCAGAATTCTGCGTATACCTTTGAAGTCCATCTTCTCTAACCATATGGGATGGAAAGAGAGAGGCAAGAAGGGAGCCTTCAATAGCCCTGACGGTCTTTCTCCTGGAATGCTGCACAAACATTCTACCCAGTTTTCAAGAGCCTTTTAGTTCTTTGCCTGCCCTGTCTCTGAGACTATAACTGTTGTAGGAGTTGCTTTTCAAGGTATTTGAAATCAAGATTCAGTTACCTCTAGACTGAATGTTCAGGCAGCTGCCTTTGTCTTCTCTACAGTTTTTGGTGGTAAACAACAGAACCAGAAAATATAATATTGGAAAACACAAGATTCATCACCTTATTGCAGCTTGCATCCTATATCTAGAAGGGGAAAATCAAAAGGGCCAGATTCTAGGATTAAGATAAATGAGGACTTTTCCTACAGACTTCAAATTTGTAAGTAAAGGAAAAAAAATGAGGCTTTTATGGATGGGGGTTCTCTTTAATGAATTCTATTCCTTTTCATGGATAGATGTTGTGAAGATTCAGGAATAAAATTAGTGAAGGCTGCTGAAGATGTTCCACTTTGTATCACTGGGTTATACACCAGAACCTGAAGCAACTCATTAGATTCAGGTAAAACCCTAAGATTAAGTTTGAAGTATGGATGTATAACCTTCTTCAGTGATATAGAAAAAGAACTGTAGCCTACTATGAAAAGTCTTGTCTTGCTTTGTATTTCTTCTGCCTGGTCATACCAATCAATTAAACTTCCAATCCCAGCATAAAAATAACTTCATCACAACAGTCATTAACAACCATATTGGCAATAACAATGAAGAAAGTGGAGCAAATAAGTATGAAAACTGAATTATACTCTCACATGGAAACATAAAATGGGAAAAAAATACACATTTGATATTCATTAGAGATTATTAAATTCATTTAAAAATAAGAAAAAAGAAATTAAATAAAGCAAGTACTCCCCCCCAAAACGCCAAACACCAGGCCTGAAAGGCATGAAAAAAAATTATGAATAAATTAAGTATAACTAAAACATATGAGCTCATCTCATTAAATTGAGACATTACTCTGATTCTGAAATTATGAATAAACTATTTCCCAGTCAAGAATGAGTGTAGTCAGTAGGGTTCCTTTGAAAAAGCAGAAATGTAATAATTGAGAATAATCAGATGAACTGAAGTTCTTTAAAACAGTATCAGTATCTTTAAAACAAATGAGAGAAAAAAATGCAACAGTTTTGACATTTGAGTTATTTTAGTCGGATTTCAAATTTCCCATGACAAGATTAACAATCCAAACAATAACAGACTTATGTGAGTAAATGAAAAAATGCCTAGAAACACAAGCTCAACTATAAAGGATGAATGAAATAAATCTGTCTTCATTCAACCTGAGTAAAATAAAAACAGAATAGGTTTAATACCACAAATTTTAGTTACAAAATTTAAAATATTATTTTAACTACTTCATATCTAAATGCTTTAGTTTATGTTTGAAGGGTTTGTAATAATGGCTTTATTAAACAAGCCTTGAAACCATCATTAAATACTCCTCTGGAAATAACCAAAAAACATTTAAAGAACAATGCATAATCTTACCTTGTAAAATAGAAGGATAAAGTTGATGGCAAATGCAACAAATAGAGCAAGAAACCTCAAGTTATAAAAATTTCTTGCCAAGTAGTGCTAAAAGAAAAAATAAAAATAATTAGAGGTGGCCTGTAGCTAATATCAAGATAAGAAAAGTAGGCAGCAAGGTTTCTAAGAGAATAAATACATAATTGTGTTGCCTTCATACACCAGTTATAATGAGCAATGAGCAAGTGCATTTCTTGGCAGCCTATTCTCCCATTTCATGGTAAGTGGGATTAAAAATAATAGGCTTAAAATTTCAACAGGGAAGACTGAAACAGAATATTACGGAAAACTTTCTTGAAGGAAGTCTGGAAAAGAAATGCTAATAAAAGAAATTGGAATAAAATATTTGAGAAGGTTTCAGAGAGTTCATCATTTGATGAACAAAGAAAAATCTTATAGAATATAGAATTACAGATTCTAGAAGTTTGATTATGGAAAATAGGGAGCTCCTAACGAGGAGCTCAAGAGGTTAATCTGTCCTGTTAGAACAAGACAGGAGAAATTACACACACAAACACTTTATTTATATAAGTCTATGAGGTATTATAAAAATCACCAAAGACTGAATACAGCCAGTCATTTGAAAGCTCATGCCGATGTTCCTTTTATGACATTTCTGCCTTCAGTATCAAACAAGTGTTCTATATTACATCAATAAAAATTCAATGACTAAAAGAATTTATTAAAAACTTACAAGCATTTTTGTTTGATAAATTTCCAAAGCTTTGAAAAAGTTAGCCATAACAGCCTCTGGTTTCTCAATTTTTTGTCCATGCCTTCGCTTCTTTTTCTTCATTTTTCCCTCTTCTTGCTGCTCAGATTGCACTTCCTTTGCTTTATCTTGTTTCTCACCATCTTCCATGCTAGAAGAAAGGTTATGTAAACAAAAATACCTAGCCAAACTTCCATTCATTTAGAAGGAATTCTAATTCAGAAAGTTTGGCTTTGAAAGTTAGTTTTGACACTGGAAGAAAAATGATTGTAAGCAAAAGACTTGAGGTAGATAGTAAACACAGAGTAAAAAGAAGTGATCTTAGTTTCAAATGATATGCAAGAATAGAGTTGTTGAGGGGAGATCAAAAGGGTAAAAAGCCAAAAATCAGGCAGAAGCTACTGTGCCAAGTGTGAAGTGAATAATGTTGGCCAAAACGAGTGACATACCTATATACTCAACACAAGCAACATAAAAACTTTAGGAGCTCACATGTACTTTCTTGAGCCTGGGGCTGAAGAAGAGAAATAAAGCCTTTGGGATTTGGCACACAGTATAACAACTGAATCACAGTATCATAAAATGAATTCATTTCAGTCAAAGCAACCACTGTTGTTACAAAGATGAATGAATAATAACAAGGAAGTTTGCTTCAGAGAGTTGTACCTTACAAAGTATGTACAAGATGACAATCATTCCTTCTGTGCCACTGAACGGCCTTTATGAAAATCAAGTATCAAGACTGTATGTAGTAACAGGGGAATTTAGTTACTAAACTAAAAAAAAAAAGCTGAATTTGCATATATGTAAAAGAATGTTGAGGCATTGAGGTGGTTGAAAGTTTTAGGCATAAGCATAAAGAAATGCAGTATGTTGTTCACTTTATCGCACTACTACTGCAGTAGGAATCATGCGATAGGTGCCTAAGAATGTGTTTATCTTCTACCAAAAAAAGTCCCTGTTGCAGCCTCAGAAATGTAATCCATTTAAACTCCTATTTTTAAGCTGAAGGCAATTTGAATATGCTGCAGAAGTACATGCAAGGAGAATTAAGCATGGCAGACAAGACATGACAACAGGGAATAGGGAAAGTAAGTCCAATAAAATAACAGAGGTGGAAAGAGATCATGCTTATGGAAAATAAGAGGTGAAAAAGCCTAAAATAAGAAAATCAGTGGCACAGGAGATTTTGGGCGAATTCCTAGATATTTATAAATTACTTCACTGAAGGACTGGTGAATATGCTACTGATGTCTAATTCAGGAGACAAAAATCAGTCAACAAAGTCCAGCAGTGATATGATTTAACAAAACTTTAAAAGGGTTCATTTGATCAATCTAAATATTAGCCAACTTAATAGTACGTTGTAACATGGTCTAGATAAAACAGTTTCTGAAACGGCTTATTTTGAAGTTACTGTCTTCATACTGAGTAACACTCATCAACAAGTTCTTTGGATACATAGTACCAAAAAAAAAAACCATAGAAGAGTTTGTAAGTGTACTTTTTAATTACTGGAAGTGCTCTAAACCATGAAAATAATATGCTTAACATCCCCACAGGGATTGAAGAGAGAGACAAATCATATCAAAACAATTCTGTGACAATAAAATGCAAGAAGGGGACTTTTTAATTGCAGAAGAATGTTAGATGCAGCCTGAAAGGTAATAGTTAGTAAATGAAAATATGCTGAACCACCACAGATAGTGCAGATGGCATAATTTAATGAGGTAACAGAAAAAACCCTAAAGAACTCCATTTAAATGCACACATGTTGGGCATATATATATGTGTACACGTTCTTGTCCATGTCAGACATACATAGATACATGTATGTATATACACATACATATACGCATAAATACAGACATATAAACATATATACACGGAGGAAAAAAAAGGATACTTTTCAGACAACCTATACAAAGGGTATCCGATCCTAAAATATCGACCCCAATGGTGCACTTAAAAAAATTAACTTTGGTAGGTAAGAGGAGAAAGATAAATTAGGCTGAAGTAAACATTTTAAACATGAAGCAAACCAGAAAACAAAGAAAAAACCCTATGTATAGCTTTTGAATATGTAAGAATCTCTAGGAGATCTTTTGTGTATGTCTACAAATATTTTAAGGGCATTCATCATGCTGCAAGTCTACCATGTGGCTGCAGGTCCAGAAAGACAGCATGCCCCTTACAAGTAGGATGCTGCTAAAGCAAGGTAAACATTTTAAAAGTTGTTTATAAGGCAGTCATATGCAGGATGACTGGACAAAGGAATGTATATGCTGTCAAGTTCACAACTTGAGAACAGATAAAACAGCGATAATAAACATTGTTTGGTTAGTCAAATCTTGTGTTTCAATGATTCACTATTGTTGCCTGAAAATTATAAAAAAAGACAATAGCCACAGATTTATTTATGCAGATTTGTCAACGGCCATAAAAATCAGAATACCATTTTGTTGCCCACTGAGATGGTCTGCCACCCCTTAGCACTGCGCTGCTTTTCAAAAATCTGATGAGACAAAGTGTAGATAAAGTGCTTTGAATACTGAGCATTTCTTGGCTTCTTTCTGGCCAAATTATTAGCATTAGGAAGTAGCAAGGAATTGAACAGGAATTGTGTAAAAATAACTTACTCAGCCTTCTCAGCTCCTACTTTTCTTTCTGTTTCAGCTTCTTTTGCAATTTCAGATATCTGCAAAAAGTATTTTAACTGTCAAAATGGATGCATTCAAATAAAATTTTGGTTACTTTAGTTACTGTTTTCTAAGAAACAAATAAAATAATTACCACACTATATTTTTATACCACTTTGCACTTTTAAAGTGTTACATTTTTAAAAATAGACAGCTCAGACTAGATTTTAACAGCGAAAACTGCAGAAATTCTTCTGATAGCCTTTTTCAGTATAGTGTTACCAATACTGTAAGTAGCCCAGTTGACTGAAAAACTTAAAGTAATTATACATGGTTATCAGACAGATTATCTGACCAGTTGAGGATGAATGTTAACTACATCCAGATCATACCCTAACACAAAAGTCACTCACAAAGACTCAGTGCAGTTACTGATTATGTGGAAAAGGAGCATCAGTTTGCCTCATTCCAAATATGAAACGAGGAATAATGTATCAATGATAGCATCAAAAATCTGAAAAAGATCTGTGTAATTATCAAGTATTACAAAACCCAATTACTTTGTCAAGATCAACAGATGCAACTGAAAACAGACAAATATTTAAACAACTTTTACTTATGCAATGTTTTCTTCAAACTATTTATCCTAGATGAGTCGATGGTTCATTAAACCTTACTGGCACACCTCACAAGCATCTAAGTATGTGTTTACAACATTCCCTTGAGATAAGGAAAGACCAATATACAATTTTACAGATGGCTAACTGCAGCAAAGAAGCTGGGGCCTGGATTTCAAACTCCTTTAGGCTCAGTGTCCAAGACCAAAGTAAACTCATTTCAAATGCAGTTTGAATATCTAAGCTTCACTGGAAATCAAAGAGATGCAGTCTCTGAAGTCCTAGATTCACAAAGGAATCTCAAATGTCTAAATTTGTTACCATTCACTTTTGCAAAAACCTGTCTTAATTTTTAACACTTTTCTGTGTTCTCTCAAAGTACTTAGACACCAATTGTCTATTGGTGTATTTTCCTACATTTCTCATTAATACATAAATAGAGTTATCTAAACTTTTCCCCCACTACTCACCTGGATGTCTACCTCTCGCACATAAGTAGTGAAAGAAGTTACTAAATCAATCTTGCCTTGCTTATCTCACCGCTTATTTGTGGAACCTCATCTAGTACAGGTGATGGAAGCATGTGTAACTGTTCCACAAAGAGTCTCCCTTAGGATCTCAAGTTGTTGGAGAGTAATTCAGAGATCGTTTGATGATGCCTAGTTCTTCTAAGGCATGGCAGGGGGGGTGGGGAGAATGAAGAAATACCTAACCATTCTCTCCATGCCTCTATCATATGCCCTTTCAGTCGTCTCCTTTCCAGGCTGAAGAGCCTTAACCTACTTAATTCCATACAGAAGATTTGTTCCATATTAAGTTTTAATAACTTTTTGACCTTCACTGAACTTTTTTCAGTTTTATCACATTCTTTTTGAAATAGGGGAATCTGGTCTTCAAGACACAGATATACTTTGGGTTCATGAAGCATAGTAATATTCTGGGGTTTTCCTCTCTCTATTCCTTTCTCAACAATTCAAAATTGCTTTTTCAATCTGTGTCGACATTTTCACTGAACTGATACTACTGTACAACTCTATTCCCAAGATTTCATACCCAAACAGCAACAATGAGCTGAAAATCCAACATTTTACATGTAAAATGACAACTTTTCCTCCCATATACATCACTTCACTGATTTTCATCTGCTATTTTAAGGCAACTTTCCAGTCAGCTCTTGATTTTACTGCTATGAATAACATAGATTTATCAGCAAATTCTGTTCGCTCAGTACTTACTTATTTTCTTATTTGTGAACCTGCATGGCTCTCAGCACAAATTCATGTGGAACTTCACAGTAAAAACTAAGTCCTAACAACCTTCATCATATACAATTTCATAGGTTATTTTGCAGTTTCTCTGGCTATATGGTAATGTCATTGACCTTATCACTACACAATTGCTTTTCCAGTATTTAGAGGTAAATTTTTGTTTCTATCCATTTGTGTAAGTTTTATTATTGTAAATGCTTAAGAAAGACATAGCGACTTCCTGAAGGGAATTTTTGATTCTTACATTGCTTTCTTCGTTGAGCTCTGCTTAATACTTATATCCAGTGCTCTAACTGGATTACCTGAGCCATTCATATACACAATGTGAATGGCAATTTCTGTAATACAGGATTAACGTAAACATGATTTTGTTAAGTTTCACTAGATAACATATTAAAGTAAGAGCTGGATAAATTGCATAGCTGACTTCACAGTAATGACTCAAAGCATCTGCATAAATTACTGAGCATTTTTATCAATAGTTACAAACAAATATGAAAGAAATGTATAAATCAAAGTAAAGCAAAGCAAAATCTAAAATATTTACTCAGATCTGAAGTAAAATATTTACTTCAATTGTTGAAGAAAATTCCAAAGTATTTACTCAGACCTGCTAAGATCCTTAAGTTAAAACAGTATTTTAAAATACCAATCACATTACATTTATGCTAAATGAGACAGGATTTTAAAAGACTGTCATTTTTAAGTAAACACATAAAAATTAATTAATAATAAGAAAAATAAATGAAAAAATATAGTTTGATCTAGGCAATAAACAAATCTTGGAGAAAAACATATAAAATAATGAACTAAGAAGTTCTACAATGGAGGTTTATCTTGAAAGTATCTGGAAAGCACACCATAAAGAGGTGGATTAGATGAGAGGAAAGATACATTTGAATTAGAAAGAACTTCTTCACTGTTAGAGTTGTTAGGCATTGGAACAGGCTCCCCAGGGAGGTGATGGAGTCACCATCCCTGGAGGTATTCAAAAAACGTCTAGATGTGGTACTTCAAGACATGGTTTAGTGGACATTGTGGCATCAGGTATACGGTTGGACTTGATGATCTTTGAGGTCTCTTCCAACCATAATGATTCTATGATTCTATGATTCTATGAATAACAAGTAGAAACAGATCTGAAGTGTAAAACAAAATGATTTCCAAATATGACAAATGCATTTGAGTTTTGACATTTAGTTCAATCCATTTTTAAACAGAATGATGAATTCTATTTAGCTCAGCTGAGTGGAACAAAATATATTGTTCATAAAACAGAATAAAAGTAAAGAATGATTATATGATAAAAATTAAAGTAACAATAAATTCAGGAAAAATTATTTCAAATAATAGGAAAAAAGGATATTTTATTGTATATGATCAGTAAAGCATGTAGAAGACAGACAACAATGATAAGGCATTATTATGGAGAAAGTAGATTGTAAAAGTAATTGAAATATACTGTGAAAAAATGGAGTATGCAGAATAAACAAGATTCTGAACAATTTAAAGCAAAAACTGTGCCTAGATAGCTGCTAAATATTTTTGTTTTCAATAAAGTCCAAATGAACAATAACAACAATTTACTGCAGTGAAATCTCAACACACTGGGCTGAATTTTTCTGCCACGTAAATTCTCCTGTTTGTTTTTAAAAGAGTACGGATTTGAAAGTATGTTCTCATTGGGAACATTTATTAATCAGTTAACTGGCAAATAATTCAGTTACTAATAGAAAAATCAGTAATATATTTGTAGTATTATTATTTTCTGCAAAGAAATACAAAATCTCTAACATACAACATACCTGTAATCCTTTTTTCTTATGAACTGTGTTTTCCAAAGATGACTGGATATCAGTACCAAGGATTTCTGCAATATCTCCAAGTCCAGCATCGTGACCATGTTTTGAGCCTCCTTCTTTCTTTGTATGAATGCCAAAAATTTCTGAGATTATGTCAGTTTCTCCCTTTTCACCCTTCACAAACTGCACAAGTTCAGCTCTGATGCCATGCTCAGCACTTTCAGCTTTTTCTGCTTCCATAACATCATCATGGATTCCAAACTGTGTTGGGTCAGGCATGTCCCCTAGTATTTTAGTAACTTTAATGTTTTTGGCTCCTTCAACCAGGCCACCCCCAAATACAGTGCTCCAAAGAATCTGGAAAATTCCCCACACTACAGTAAAGAACAGTTGGAACATCCCTACAAATAGGATCCAGAAAAAGGAGAAAAACACTTTCACCATCTCTTTTACTGTCATCTTTCTAACTTTCCTGTATTGTTTCCTTAAGTTCTTCACAGTAACCATTTTTAAAAAGTTGGCAACATTCTTCTTCACTGCAACACAGGCCATTGCAAAAGCTGAAGCAGATTCCAGGGACTTCTCTTCATCATCATCTCCAATATCCACTACATAACAAGGTTCTGCCTCTTCCTCTTCCTCAGGTCTCTCAGATGAATCGGTTTCAGAGATCTGGGATGCTAACTGCATTTCAAAGATTGTGTCTTCACAGAAATTCACAAAAAGTTCCATTTTTTCTTGCTCTCCACCTTCATTTACAACATCAAATATGAACTGTCTTTTGGATTCCTTCACCTGTGGTTTTTCCCACTGCATTCTACTGGATTCACTGATTTCAAAGTAAACTCTTTCTATTTTCTTGGCTCCACCCATTATTTCAATACGGCCAAGGTATGGTTCAAAGTAATTAAGAACACTTTCTGCAGGTTCAAGTAAGCTCTGAAGGCGTGAATCATTAGGCATGTGCTCTGAAAGGTTTGTTAGCAATACTGCTACATTAAATCCAATGTCTTTCGCTGGTTCATGGAATCTTTCCACAAAATCAACATAGTTAAACATATCATTTTCATCAGCTTCTGCACAGGACAGCAAATCTCTGACTGTATGTATTGTTTTTGAGCCTCCATTGATTTCTGGAATTCCTTCTTTGAAATGATGCCTTTACCATCTGGGTCATGCTCTTTGAAAGCCTCTGAGTTAGTCAGATCTTTTAACTTGAGGAACATGTCAAAGAACTTCAAAATCATTTCTACATTGCTAGATGATTCTACAAGCGTGTCTACCATTTGTTTTCCAATAGTTCCATTTACAACGTTACCTAAGTAGTGTGTTAAAACAGGAAGTTATTTGGCATCACTACATTTTAAATAAATAAATTTCATATTCATGCTGAGAACAGAACAAAAATGTTCTTAAATCTTCATAATTTTTCTTTCAACATGCTTTTCTATAGCAGCGCTCTTTTCCATGACTATGTATATTCCACAATAATTGCTAAATAAATAAGAAATAGGTTTTTCCTGGCATTACATAAAGGCAATTAGACAGTTTAGAAAGATTAATGCAATTATAATACTTTATATTATGAAGCTGAGATAATCATATTTGACCATAAAGAAAAACAGGTCCAACCTTCAAGCAGTGACAAGAGCATCACTACCATATCCTTTAGCAGATCTAGCAGTTCTTTAAGCAATTCAATCTGAGCAGAGTCCTGTAAACAAAAAAAAGGGTGTATAAGGTTGTTTTTAATTTGTATTTACCTGGAAAATTAAATGCATTTGGAAAAAAATAGTATGCAGGATGCTCATCTAAATGTAGTTCACATTCTTCAGCAACATTTCATTGTCATTTTTTTATAATTACTATCAGAAATCTTATACAATATGAGGGTAACCTACTACAGTAGAGGTATTAATGCTTTAATAAAGCTTAAGGAGTACCAAAGTGCAGATAAGGGACAGCAGAAACTCACAAAATTGGTTGCTCGACAGATCTGGCAGTATTCATCTCAGAAAGAATCTATCCTTTCTCAGTTCACAGGGAATATTTAATGGCATAATGCATTACCACTCAAACAGAACTTTTCAGATTAACTACAGAACATGATAAGTCTAACATGGATTTATGAGTAACATTAAAGACCTAAAACTGTCAAGTATCGTCAAAATTCTGATACAATTCTGTAGAGTGGGAAGAAATCTTATGAGTAAGTCAGAGGGCAGCATAGACAATAAGAGTGAGGAAATGAGACTCTGTTGCATTCAGTGCCTAGTGGTTTGAGTGTATGGGTATGCTAAGCAGAAGTCACAAAAGAACATAGAAGCCTGAAACTATGAAGAGGGGTGGCACTCCACAATGCCCTGCACAGTGAAATCAACACTGCCTGTTGCCTTCCTGCTCACTACCTGTGATGAATTATCTGGACAAGTTGACTGACTGTCACAGTCTCTCCCTCTTTGAATCTTTCCCAGCTTTCCTCTTGCCCTACTTAGCTGTAGCATGGGAACCATGCTGTTAATAGTGCTTCTGCTCTGACAGATCATCAGGTTTTGGCAACAGGGAAGAAGGGACCAAATTACCACCTTCATTATCAGAAAGGTGTAATTGAGTTGGAAGCAGTGAGTTTGACGTTAAAAAAGGTGAGTGCACAGTAATTAATGCCAAAAGGAGTGATATGAAGATGCTAGTCCTGAGATTCAGTCTTGGACCTCTATATTACAATAGGCCCATCCACAGCTAGTATCAGAACATTAACTGCCTTACAGCTTTCAACATTCACTTGACTGTAATTTATATACATATGCAAAGAAGGATTACTTGACTACTGAAAATACCTGTGAAAGTTTCATCTGCATATTGGCAAAGACATGAAGAAAGCCAACAACTGCATCCCACAGCCTACTATGAGCCAGACTCTGTTGATTACCGATGCAAGGGCCCTAAAAAAAATGAAGAAAACCACATTTTTTATTTATAGAAAATAAAATAAAACAAAACAAACAAAACAGTTTGCTTTCCTAAGATTTTTCCCTGAAAAAATAAAAAAAGAAACTTCAGGCTTCCACAAAGCTACACGAGAAAACTTCCCAAGGTCTCTGGTATCTAGTGCATAAATACTGTATCATATCATGTTAGGTATGCAGTCATTCACATGTTTTAGTATTAACTTTACACTGGGCCAGGGATTCCACGTAACTTCATCAAAATCAAGAAAAATAAAGCCAAAGTATATACAAATTTATGATAGGCCATGATCAGGCCATGTAATCATAGAACTTCAGTGTTGGTACCTTTAGCAAAACATTTTGTCTACCTGGATATATTCTGTAAGGGAATTGAATATTTGTTTGGTGACAGCCAAAGCTTTAGAGAAGTTACGTTGTCCTGATTCATCGATGACATCCTTTCCTGAATAGTACCAATAGAAGTCACTGATTGATTCCTAAGAAAAAAAACAATGTTATATTTTCTAGTTTTGGATTCTGTATGCAATATTTACTGCCTGCATTTGTATCACCAAAAGTTGAATCAGCAGCAGATGAAATTTAGTATTTCTGTGTCGATCTATTTCTCATGAGAATAACTTCTTGCATTTTTATCTAATTCTGCTCCCTGCAGAAGTGAACAATGAAATAAATTAACAAACATCTGGTTTCACACAGAATTCTGAAAGGTCATCTATTTTAAAAGGAAAGAAGAGATGAAATAAATTAAATCAGAATTCCTTCTTTTAGATATCCCTGAAGAGAGGATTTTCACATTTGATTTCAGTAAAATGTGAATTTATAAAAATGAAGGAAAGGCAAATATGTTATACTGATTTTCCTCTGTTTTTTCCTCACCTGAAGACGCAAGAGATAGTCAACTGTACTAATGATAATATTCACTGTTGTGGTGTTGCCCATCTGAGTACGCAGGTAATTCTGAAAATCTGAAATAAGAAGTGATTTGTGCTTGGTTAGTATATATAGGAATAAAAAATGCATGGTTATTTTCATATTTTCATGGAGACATCAAGAACACATTCTTTTTCAGTACCGTGCTGGGTACAGATGCTTATGTGGTGGAAATTGAACTACAGTAGACCACAACATAAATACCACTGCAGAACTGTTATCCACAAGACTTGCAATAGGCTTTACTATTAATGATTGATAAAAACTGAAATTACATTAAGATTCAAAAATTCAAATCGAACTCTGCAATTCAAATTATTGGCATGCCAGTTTCCCCTCAGAAAACTAAAGGAATTACAGGAAAAAAACCATTAGAATCAGTTCTATTCAACTCTATTTAAGAACAGACTGATCACACATTTTCCCCAAAATTAATTCAGTTCACTTACCATTGTTATGCCCTTCACAGAGCAGTTGTAAAAATCTAAATAGATCTCGAGTAAATTCATCATGCTGCAACACTTTTTCACCTTTAAAATACATAAATACAATGATTATGTGACAACTGTTATGATTAAATATGCAGAACATATAATCTTACAGCAATCTTTAAAACTGGAATTCTAATAAAAACCAGTATTATTAAAGCGTTAAAGCAATTTAAAAGAAACAGACTGATAATAATGAAAAGAAAAACTGAGACAGAAAAAGCAAAGCCATAATATTTAGCACTCCAATGCATCCATGGTTAAAAAAAAAGGCAACAGGATATATATCTAATAAGTAAATGGTTAGTTGTAACTAAAATCATGCCTTAAGTATGAATGACACTTCTTTAATAAGCATCAAACTGTTTATCCAAGCTGAACACACAACCTGCTGCAGACGATAAAGCTAAACCTAAAGATATCCGGGAAGATGCAATGAAAGATTTCTCTCTGTATTTGCAACACATTTTTGCAACAATAATATTGAAAACTGTAAACCCAAACATACCACGCTCACGAACGATGACTGTGGATCAAAGAAAAATAACAAGAATAGAGGATAAGAATATTGGAAGTTACAATGTTTTTCTTAAAAATTATTGCTAAAGATTTTGTAAATATAGAGCATATTCAGGACTCAAAGCCTAGATTTACTTATAGCAAGTTTATCAACAGAAACCTCAAGCACAAATAATGTTTTAAGCACTACTGGAATCAATTTCATTCTACTTACGAGTTCCTTCTTCAGTAACCATTCCCAGGCCTTCTGCTTTATTTTGTCTCTCAAATGCATTCAAGTCAAGAACACTTATATTGAAAAAAAGAACAATCAGGAAAAAGTACTATAGTATACAATGGAAAATTATTTTCTTCTAGGAAATCTCAGGGGGTCTTCAATAACTAGTCTTGACTCACTATGACATGCATTGCCTGGTATTTTATTTAATATGAATATT